TACATATTGTTTTATACCACCAATGTCATTTATACCACCAAATGATTGGTAGAATAAGAAAATAAAACAAAAAAAAAATTTTTTCCTTTTTTTTTTTTTTTGTTTGTTTTAGGTATTGTTATGTTTGTATTGGTAAAGCAAAAGGTGAAAATTTATGTTTTGTTTGTGGTAATAAAGGTGATAATCAATTAAATCGATGTGAACATTGTGGAAAATTATTTCATGAAGATTGTTTAAAAAATGCTAAACAACAACGTGGTAAATGGTTATGTGTATTATGTGCAGCTAATGATAGTAGTGCTTTAATAGCAACATTAAGTGCTGGAAATAATAATACGAAATGGGTAAATTTAATTTTTCTTACAATGTTTATTTCTCATTGATTTATTTATTTATTTATTTTTTTGTAGCAAACCGGACGTCAAACATTTCGTTCAACAAATACATCAGCTAATGCAACAAATAATTCAACATCAAAATCTCGTCAACCATCAATTAGTTCAACTAGTTCATTAACAAATACAAATGGTGAATCATTAAATAATTCTTCATCATCATCTAATCGTAATCGTTCGAATACTAATACTACTACTACTAATAATAATAATAATAATAATAATCGTAAATCAAAACCTCGTAATAGTTTAAATAATATAGAAATATCAATTTCACATGAATCACATTCAAATTCATCTCATACAGATGCAATAACAATGAGTAGTCTTAATGAATCATCATCAATTCAATCACCATCAAATATTGATGATATTGATGATGATATATCATCTCCAACAATGGGTGGTACAATAAATAATTCAAAGAAAAAAACTTCTCGAAAATCAAAATCAAATACAGATAATAATGATATAAAAGCTTGCAGGTAAAAGAAATTATTCAACGAGATTAATCTGTATACATTCCTCAAATATCTCCTTTCGGTGTTCAAGAAATTAAGCTATTAAATTTGCCGTTAGATAACTGAAAGGCATCAGTATTCTTCTAGCGATGTCTGTAGAGGATCCTAATCTTTACCATTTACACTTCATTACTCTTGTTAAATTGTGTTTTATACGAAATAAATTTATGATCTTTGTTTGTTTGTTTTTTTGTTAGAATAATTTTGAATGAATTATTAAAAAATGATGCATCATGGCCATTTCAAACACCAGTTGATGCTAAACAACATCCTGAATATTATGAATGTATAAAAACTCCAATGGATTTTTCTACAATGAAAAAAAAGATGCGTAATCATCAATATACAAAACGTGATGAATTTTTTAATGATGTACAATTAATATTAAATAATTGTGAATATTATAATGAAGATGATAGTCCAGTTGGTGAAGCTGGTCATGTTTTACGAACATTTTTTGAAACACGATGGGCTAAACAATTTGGTTAAATTCTTTTTTTTTTTTTCTTTTTCTTTTCTTTTTGCTCCCCCTGCTTATGTGCCATTGTACATACGACAAATTGTTTTGTTGAATCTCTTTCTTTGGCCAGAATGAAAAAAAAAAAAAAATTAAAAAAATGAGGATTATTGTATTGTGTCTATGTCTCAGATAAAACTAGTTTATGCGTTTTTCTTTTTTTTTGTTCGCGAGGTCAAGTAAAACCAATCAATGATGATGTTTCTTTTCTTTTTTTTTCTTCTCTCATTTATTGTTGTTTTTTTTTTTTCTTTCTTTTGTCACTACACAGTATTTTGTTGTATATCATCATCTATCTTGTCAGATCGTCAATGTTTTGTTCGTCTGTATGTCTAGTTGAACAAAAAATAATAATAATAATAATAATAACTGTGTGGTGGACAAATGACGAAATGAAATATATAAATCATTTATTTATAATTGAAAAAAAAATCAGTTTTATTTTTGTTTTTTGGATGATAAGAAAGAAATTCAATAGTTTTATCTATCAATGTTAATTGAAAACATTTGATACAAAGAAATATTATGAATAGACTATCGTAATAGAATGACAAAGAAATATTTCAATACAGAGACAGGACAAGTACAAGTATAGTACGAGGAAAAACTACTTTTACTTCAATTTTAAATGAAGTAAATGTTATCAACAAGATTGATTGATTATTCCTAATAAATTTTTAAAGATCATCATGATATTATTCAATGAAACAAATAAATGACAATGAGAGTTTTGTCATGATAATTTTCTACTCTGATATTACGGAGAAATTCATTAACGATCATTTGTAAAAATCATTTATTTTTTTTATTGTTTGAAATTATTTTGAATATTTCCAAAATAATAATACTTGTTCGATTTAATATCAACGCTAAATATATTTCTTCATGACAATGAGAAAAACTTATACGAATACAGATTCATGATTTATTACTCAGGATAGATTAGTGCTTCGTTATGAAGTGATTCTTTCGAAAACGTACCACAATTACATCGACTTTCTAAGTCTGCAGAACTCGGACCTGTAAGTATAGTCGTAGGTTCAAAAACATTGGAAAACCTTGCGAAGAGGCTCCAATAGGAGTGGAGCAAGATGAGCCTCTCAGGCAAACTATACCTTAGCTAGCTCCTTTGTTTTAAATGATAAAAATTTTCAATTTTTGTTAGTGCTTTACAATCTTCAAACTGTCTTGAACCGAATGACGGAGGCATCATTAGGATCTGTTTTGGAGTTTTTCCCAACTTTGCATTTCCCTTAGACATAACCACGGAATTCCGAAAATCCGTCCTATAGTTGATCTTCATGAGCACAACTAGCTCTACTATTCCAGAAATTTTCGTTTTTGATCAAGGCAATTTGGTCGAGAAAACCAATCTTGAATGTTCTGTATGGTATTAATAACAAGTTATTCTTTTGAAAAAAAAAAATTTAAGATCGGTTTTCTCGATCAAATCGCATCGATCGAAAAGGAAAACTTGAGGAATTGTAAAGCTAAGTATGCTCATGAAGGTCCACAATACAACAGGTTTTAGGGATTTTGTGGGTGTGTCTGAGGAAAGTGCAGAATTGGGAAAAACTCGAAAATAGATCCTAAAGATGCCTTTGTCATTCGGTCCAAGAACAAGCTAACAGACTTGCAGATTTCAATGTTGGATAGAGAACAGTTTGAAGATTCTAAAGCACTAATAAAAGTTGAAAATTCATTTGGACTTCGTGAAGATATATGAGCCCGAAAATCAGAACACAAGAGAAAAAAATGTCTGCTACAAAAAAAAATGATCACCTCAACGAGTAATATCTATGATAAAACTTTCAAACTTCTATCATTTGAAAATGAGGAGTTAGCGAAGGACCGATTTGACTGAAAGACTCCATCGTGCCTTCCTATTTGGGCCTTTTCGCAAGGTTTTCAAACTTTTTTGAACACAAGATTATATTTACAGACTCAAGTCCTACGAGTTCAGAAAATTTCATTCCATTCGTATGAAGTCGACGTAGTTTTGACAAGTTTTCGAAAGAATCAGCTATAGCGAACGTAAATTTCACGTATAAGCTTTAGTATTCAAGCTTTTATTCATTTATGAAAAACTTTCCGAATCTATTTGGCTTTCTCAATATCAATAATAGGCGATTGAAAAATAAGTAAACAAATTTTTGTTGAGAATGAAGGTACATGTTGAAGAGAGATTTTGTTCATACTACCGACGGATATCGACAGTATCGTAATCCTACGAAGTGTCCCTATCGGATAAAAAGTACATAAACTTCAATTATTTTGTCTGATACTTTACCTAAAAATAGAACCCGATAAATCCTGATCACAAGCAGCAGTCTGAGATCGATAGGCCTTAATGCAAGTGATTTTCAATGGAAACACTAGTGTTTTTCCCTAGGACCGAAAAAAGACTTTTTTGGCACTTTTCTAGTTTTCCACTATTTAAATGCGTTGGCATCAAGGGAAAAAGCGAGACTTCAAGTATTTCTGAAGTGCGAATGAAGTATCGTGCTTCACTCGTACTTCAGTTGCACTTTACTTGTACTTCACCGTACTTCATGTACTGAACTCTCGCTTTTTCCCTCTTGATTGACATTCATTCTTTAATTAACAAATAAAAATTCGTATGTCTATCGTGTCACTGATAGGATACTTCAATCCGCTGTAATCTTGAGTTGCGAGGCAGCCTTCATTATCTAGGACGATCTCAATATGGATCTCTTCTCTACTGATGACTGCAATCGTGAAGTTTTCTAGGAAAACTTGATTAGAGCAGAGTACTCGCTGAACTAATGATTAAAACTAGCCAAAGATATCGGTCACTTTTCGATGATTTTCATCAACTCTCATGTGAAGATTACTTCATAAATCAAACAAACTAAAGCCGTTTGACATGGAATTTTTATTGATGATAGAGGTAGCACTAAGCTATTGAATGTGGGATGTAACGTCATGAGATTTGTTTTCTATAGTGTAATATCCTCGTCTGAAGAAAAAAAAATTTATATTGATTTTTTAGCTTCTCCGCATGAAGGCCGATCAAGTCCTTGGGATCAGAGTTCGAGACGCTCTATTTGTAGTTGAACTATGAAACTAAAGTACTAAAGTTTAGGTACTTTGTATCTAGTAGTGGGACTTTTCAAGACTACTACAAACAGCCAACTGGGGAGCAACTATCAATATACCGAGATACAATGACGATCGGAAGATAGCCGACGGTTTAAGTTTCAAATTACCGTCGATTTTTGTCAGATATGAATCACATGAGGTGTGTCATGAATTTAAACTAACATACTACTGATTTCGAGAGAGCATGATCAACATTTTGAATATTAATTCTTTATTCAATAAATTCAATCGAATCATTCATTCACTCGATAATTTGTTCTCTAACTAAATATTCTATTTGATTATTATTATCAGAGATCTGCGGAACTATCTTGTACTCCAGTGCATCCTATTACAACGTTTCATGGTACGAGGCAGATTGTAAGAAACATTGAACAAATGATTTCATACTTTTGAAATGTGGGACAATGCAAGACAATTTCGCAGATCTCTGATAATTATTTTTTAATGTGTTATAATACAACTAATATTTTTTCGTTCAACTTCAATTAATCGAAACACTTGAGCTTGATTTCTATCTTTTGTACATGAACATAAATGTGATGAACTATGATTAACATAATAAAATCCTGTTGATAAACGTGTTTGTAAAATAAATGTTGAATTTGTTTGTATACATTTTGTTGTATTATCAATTTGAATGATTTTTAAATATCGATTAACTTGTTCCATTCCATATTTCATACGAAAATATTTTGCATCAGATAAATAAAATTCTGATTGATTACCATTAATTAATATAATATATTGTTCTGATTTTAAACATCGATGTCGACGTGGTGTACCATTATTTGTTAAAATAAATATTGAACCTGTATCATTTGTTGAATTTCCTATTTGAATATTACGATCAATAATCATTACAGGTAAATTTGTATCAACTGTTACAAAATTTACATAAGTAAGAATACCTGATGATTGTTCAGGCCATTGATATTTACTTAAATTAAAAAAACCCCAAACTGGATAATGATCTGAAAGTTCCATTAATGGTATATTACGTGTATTATAAAACATTCGATTTTTACCAAGTAAATGCCATTGTTCAGATGCCATTGGATCAATAATAAGATTAAACCATAGTGAATTATTTAATGTATGATCTTTATGTATAAATATATAATCTAATAATTGATTTTCTTGATGTTTTGCATTAGTCATAGCATTAAATGAACTATCCCAAGTACATGGTATACTTGTTGGATACAAATATTGTTCGTGAACACGTAATATATCAATCATTGCTTCATATTGTTCAGTATTATATTTATCAATATTAAAATCACCAAGAAAGAAAATTAATTCATTTTTTGATATATTTCGTGCATCAATAAAACCTATTATTTCATACATTTGTTTTTCACGTGTTTCATCTTCACTTGATACATAACAACCATGATGATCACTTGGTTGTAAATGTGTACCAATAATATGAATAGGAATTTGATTTTTACCATATAATATTTGTGCATAAATAAAACCACTACGTACAAATGTATGACCACTACATGAATGTCTATAAAAATATTGTGCAGTATAAATAATTGGCCATTTACTAAGAATTGTTAAACCACCACTAAGAAATTTTAATGAACTTCGACCTATTTGACGATTCCATGTTTCATCCCAAGAATCTTGATCTTCTTGATTACCTAATATTGGTGTACTATAAGCATATGTATTTGCAAGAGAATTAAGTAAAATTTGACTTGGTTTTGGTTCAAATACTTCTTGTAAACAAAGTATATCACTTGTACGAAGAAATTTTGCTTTTGTTAATAAATGAGCACGAGTTATTTGATCACGTTCTAAAACAAGTAATCTTGGTACAAACATAATATTATAAGTCATTAATGTTATTTGACTAAGTTCATCATTATTAGCGTTACATAGAATTAGAAGAGCAAGTAATAGAAATTGTTTCATGTTTGAAAATAAGAATTAACAAAACAATATTATTCTTCGTTTTTTTTTCTTATCATTTGACATTTACTATTCAATTCTTTCTTTCTGTTTAATAGCGACATCGACCGTCATTTGGTTTTTGTTTTTTTTTGATTTTATATTTTACCTGTCTAATAAAGGTGGACAAAAAAAAAGAGAAAAGAAGTAATTTTGTACTTTTATTCGTTATTATTGTAATTTTTCTTTTTCTATCAATGGTTGATTTAGAATTAAAGAAGTCTCTTCCACTTGATAAATCATACTATAGAATAATTGAAGAATTAAATACATGGCATACAAATATTATAAAACAACTTAATGAAATGCATGATAATATATTTTTTGATATGAAAAGAACATTTGATGATGTTCATTATTTTGCTTCATTTACAAATGAACTTTTAATTGAACAAGAAAATCAACTTAAAAAAGCAAAATCCCATGAAGAAATTGATATTATTCAAGAACGAATTAATCAACTCGTATCAGAAGTTCAATTTTTACAATGTAAATAGATAATAAAAAAAAACAATAATAAATGAAAAATTTTCAAATATTTTCTTTTTTATTTTTCTTCATAGTATTATCATTTCATTTAAATTATGATTCAGTTAAATTCAATGGTAAACTTCGAATAAATTATAATAATAATGAAATAAAATCAAATTCATCATTAATAACAACAACATTTCCTTGTCTTTATAATACATCCCAAACAATATTTGATTCATCGGAATTTTCAACAAATAATAAACAATTAATTTCATCCTATACAAAATATCGTTTTCTTATTTCACGAATTGATGCTATTGAATTAAAAAAAAATTTTTCTTCCATTTTTCATTTAACTTCTTATAATAATGAATTAATAAATGATTGTATTTTAACATTTAATGTATTTAATCTTGATTCATTTCTTAATGCATTTACATTCTATTGGAATTTATTTTCAAATAAAAATGAAATACGTATGCTTATAATACAAAATAATATATTATTTTTAATGAATAAATTAAATGAAATATCTTATTCACTTATAAAACGTTTTCAATTAGATGAAATAAAAATTTTTTCAAATTTATGTCCAAAATCTGATGAAAAAATTTTATTAATTAAAGGAAAACAACGTAATCTTATGAAAGATTGTATTAAAGAAATTTATTTTAATATTGAAGAAAATAATAAAAATCAATATATAAAACAAAATATTAAATTATATAATCCAGCTAATTTATCAAAAGATGATATTAATGAAATAATCTTATCAAATTTAGATTATGGAGGTTTCATACCTAATCAAACTAGATTAACGACTGCACATCATTCTCAAATGCATATAACTGAAGATGAAGAGTAAATTTAGAAATTATTTCATATTTGAATAATTTAATTTTGTTGTTTCGTTTTAAGAAGTGATGACGATGATGATGAGGATGATGATGATGAGTTATGGGATGAAAATGATGAATGGTGGAATTTTCAAAATACTCGAGATAATAATACAGACATTGTTCAACGTGAAATGACTATTAGTAATAAATATGCTGATGTTGTTATAGGTAAACTAAATTAATTTTGATTCTCTATCAAGAAATTCTTTTTTTAGGCGTTAATACATCATATATTGATCGAATAAAACAGAAAACTGGAGCAAATATTTCTATTAATGACGAAACAAATGATCTTAAACGAACAGTAAAAATTATTCATAAGATTGTTTCAAATGATATATTCTTTTTTTTATTTAGATAATTATGAAAGGTACTCGTGAACAAGTTGATCGAGCTTATGCATGTATTGATAATCTTATTGAAAGACATATAAATGATAAATTATCCATGCATCCAAAATATTTACATAGAGAACGTAAAGAAAAATAATATATTTAACATTCTCATATATATACATCTAGTCATTTTTTCTTTCTGTGTCATTAATTAGTTAATTATAGTTGACATGTACCGAGTTTTCTGTTTTTTGAAATATTAATAATAGAAAAAAAAACGATGATTTTATTCAATAAAAAGAATAATAAAATTCATTTAAAGAAAATCCTTTTTTGGGAATAAGTTATTGGGTGTATATGTATATACATATATTTATATATATATATATATATATATTCAAACGCATCACCGAATTTAATATGCCATCAAACAATCAACTATTTGATTTATAAGTACCTACATACATTATACTCATTTTTTTCCTTCATACATATTTATTATACATAGTGTTGACCATCACGCTTCTTGATTCTACATTGTCAATGTACAGAAAAAAAAAGTTACGTAATGAATATTAATATGTATTTACATTAGTTGAACATCTATCTTGTCATTTTTTTTTCTGTCACCTTTTTTTTGCATCTTCATTGAAAAAGACACCCGAACATTTTCAAGCAAGTAATGAATATTAACTAAATTCAATTATGCTTGCTACAGCTCATGGTTCGAATCGTTATACAAAATCAAGAATGTTTGAAAATAAATGGATGGATAATGATAATAATAAACGAATATCATGGTTAAACTATGTTACAATTCAAACAATTCCAGAAGAAACTGATACTATTGATTGTCCAATACATAATTATAATGATAGTGATAGTGATAATGATAGTTTTTCATCATCATTATCGTCATCAATGGAAGATTGTTATGTTGTTTTTGAAGTTCAACGATCTCGTTCAATTGATGAAACAAAAGATATCATAGAAGAACAATTAAATTTTGCTCAAATTAATGATGATGAACATCATATAGAATATGATCAAATGGCTCAATTAATTCTAATCGAGGTAAACATTTGTCGATATTCAATTGTTTGACAAAAAGAAAAGAAGAAACGATTTTTTGTTTAGATGCCTTTAAAAGAACATGCTATTGAACGTCGAACAGAATCAATAGCTACTACACAATTATCTAATAATATTCTTATTGATAAACCAAAAATATTTGATAAATCTATTTCGGTATCACACAATTGTATAAAATTAAAAACTATAGAACATCATTCATTATCAATGTCATCAAAAACAATATGTGAACAACAATCAATAAATCATAGTTATTCAATAGAAAGTCTTGATTCAATTGAAAATGATTTATCAAAACAACCACGAATATTTACAACATTTGCTCATTTATCATTACAACGTAAATCAAAACCTATTCATATACAACATGAAAAATCAACTATGGAAACAAGAACATTAACACGTAGATTTGCATTCGATCATATATATACGGATAAATGTACACGTGTTAATAATGAAAAAATTATTAATATTGAAATAAACAATAAAGATGAAACAATTCGTCCATTTTATTTGAATAATACATTAAATAATAATAATAATAATAATAATAATATTAATAATTATTCTTCAATATCAAATAGTGTTACGAAAACATCTCCATCGCTTCGTTTACTTAAAAATCGTTCTCGAACTGTCAGATCCGAATGTCGCTTACCTGATAACGGCATTAAACCTACTGAATCTTCATTATTTCGAGTGAAATATCTTGATGGAAGACATACATTAGCAGATCGTCATACTCGAGAATCATTAGAAAAATCTCAATTTTTATCAGGTTCAATTTCGTCTCGAACGAGTTTATCAAAAATATTCTCACCAGATGATATACCAACAAATTCATCGCTTCGAAAACGAATAGTACATCGTTTTCAAAATTTTTTTAAATTTAATTCAACTGAAAAATCAAGACCATGGCAACACAAGACAATATTCGAACTTTTTAATGAAAGAAAAACTAAAACTGATCGTCATTAAAAACCAAAAAAAAAATAGATATTCATTTAATAGGTTTACAACTTTTTTTTTTACACATGCATATGATGATAATAATGAAAATCATCATAGTTTGATTAGTATTATCATAGACTGTCAACCCATATGTATGTAAATAAAATCTGTTCTTTTTAATCTTAGCACTCTATAAGAATATTTTTTATTTATATGGTTATCAATAAAGAAAAATAAATAATTACTTTATGTTTATCTTTCGAGATAATGAATGACTGATTATCGAAATTTCTAGAGACGCGTGGAGCATGATGCTTCGAATCCAAAGTTTTCGGACTCGGAACCAACCCGATGGACTCTATTCATGCTCTCTTCTGCTTCTGAAATATATTCATACAGTGCCTCTATTCGCCTCCAATGCTGAGTTACGCCTCTAGAAATTTTCTCTGGACTAAATTCACTATCGTCAATTGTTTTTGAGTTAATAAATTTAAGTTTATCCTTAATTATATCCAATGCTCAGACTTTAACTGTGTCATAAATAATTCATATTGACATTAATTTAAGAGTGTCATGTTTAATCTACATACACATGTATTTGAAATGAAAATAATTAGAATCTATTTAGTATATTATGTTCTTTGTCATCTTGTCATAAGACAAGTTCTTTTATCAATATGGTAAAATTTATTTCGAATTGAAAATCTTGATGTAGCATGTTTTTTTTTTGTGCTTATTATTTCATAATTATGACCTTCACTGAGAAGACCAAAACTTCGTAATGATAATAAATGCAATCAAAATACAAAAAAAATCTAGAAGCTATTAAAGAAAAAAAATCAATGATTTCAAACTTCGAAGAGACGAAGAATATTTAGAGAAAAATAGTAATACACTCTCTTACATATATCAGTGACAAATAAAGCAACTAAAAAAAGAAAATAATAAATGATTAAAGGTAATATAGTATATTCGATTCTCAATAGAACGAAATAACTAAGTTAAATAAAGAAAAAAAAAACATCTGATTATCTTAGGGTTATTAAACAACAAATGATATCAAACACATCATACAATAAGAAAGGAGAATGAGTCATATACACCATTTCTTCAAAGAATAAATGAATCCACTCTACAAAAAAAATTTTTAAATAAATATTATTTCAATCGATAAGCAATATTTTTAAAACATTTTTTTTTTGAAAGACTATGCTATATAAAACAGATCTCTTCAATTATATTTATACTAAATTATTGTTCTACGAGCAGCAGTCTACTGCCTGTATAGCGTCGCTAGCGCAAACAAACGGGTAACATGACTGTACATTCAATCTTATAGATAACCTTCCTATATACGAATTTGCATCAGAGTTTTTATCAAAATAATGCGAAATCTGAGAAATCTCCTTGAAATTTTTCAGCTACTATTATTCACTAAAGTACCAAGTTTGATATTCTACCTTCCATAAAATTATGGATAATGTTTTGATTTTATATAAATTTTAATTATAATAGTGTCATTTATCTTATATTTTGCAGTGCAATACATAAATAATTTATTAAAGATCCCATTGATATCGTTCATCAATCAGACTAATGAACATGTTTTATATAAAAAAACAGAAAACTTGATTATTAGTATTTTGAATATATTATTAAAATACTCAATCATATTTTAATAAACTCATTCCTGTCCTTAATAATTCTCATGTATTCATATATGATATTAAAATTATTTGCATCGATAATAAACCTGCAAAATATTTTTCTTTCTCGTATAGAATAAAAAGATAAGCATAAATAATTTAATTTTCGATGTATTCTTATTTTATGTCAAAAAAGCAAAAACAAAAGACAAAAACAATGACATAGACGGATTTGTGTAAGAAAGATAAGTACAAACAACAGTAAAGGTATAATATTCACAGATATGAGTAAAGAACATAATACAAAAGAAAAAAGAAAAAACAAAGAATATTAATGACTATGTACGAATTTTTCTATCTATTTCATTGTCATTAGTCGATGGCATTAATGAAGTTTGTTGTCGAATAATATCATTTGTAGATGATATTAAATGTTGAATATTTGCTACTAAAGAATCATTTGATGTTTTAATCTGTTGAGATATTGATTCTTGTAAATTAATTATATTTGACGTATTAATTAATGATAATTTATTTATTTGATCTAATTCAAATGATTTTTTACTATTTCGTAATTCTAAATTATGATTTTTTTCTTGTATAATTTGTTGTCGTTTAATAAAATCCATTAAAGCTAAATAAACAAATAAATATTGATCTTCTGTTTGAACACTACCAGCACGTTCTTGTCGCATTTTAATAACTGTTGATGGTATATCAATAATTTTTTCATTTAAATATCGTTTTATACCAATATCAATGGCACAAAATGTTCCTGTACGTCCAATACCAGCTGAACAATGAAGAAGAATTGGAGATTTTGTTTTTGTTAATTCTTTATAATATTCAACTTTTTCTAAAAATAATAATGCATCTTTTGTTCCAGTTGGTATACCATGATCAGGCCATTTAAGATAATGTGCATGATAAATTGTTCGAATTTCTGAATTAGTTTTTTTCTTTAATAATAATGTTGTTATAATAAAACTATCATATGGATCAGATTTTTCATTTTGAATTTGATATAATCCTGTATTAAGATATTCTTTTATTTTTAATGGCCAATATGGATAACATTTCATTGTACCAGATTCACGAATATTTGTTGTCATGACTATAATTGATATATTTTCTTGCCATATCATACGCCAAAAATCTTTTACTGTTGCTTGTAATGGTCCTTAAAAAATTAGATTTTTGAATTTTGAAAAAAATTCAGAATTTTTTTTGTTTTTACCTTGAGTAAATATATAAGCTTTTTCTTGATTATTATAACCACTAACATAATTAGCATTGATAAAATCATTTTGATCATCAGTATCTTCTTGAAGTTTAACACGAGTTGATTCACCTGGTAGAACATCACGATAACGAGATTTATCAAGATTTTCTTCGTATCTAAAAGCAACAAAATAATAATAATAAAGATTAATTTATGAATTTATATATTACTTTGCAACATGCGTATCTTTTGCTGGTGGATTTGGCATTTTACGAAATTCTTGTCTTATTTCAGAATGTGTTTTAGATAAAAATTCGGTTTCATTCAATGGTTTATAAAGATTTGTTATTGCTGTTCGTTTGATATCACATTTTAATTCACGACATTCGTTTTCATTCATACTCTTTCTTATATTATAATCATGATGACAATTTTCATTTCGTTTTAATTGACTGAAAAACAAAAAAGAAAAATTAATTTTATTTTGTATTACATAGATCACAAAAAAATCAAGGAAATTTAAGAAATTTAAAATAGTATATTTGAGTAAGAATCTAATTATAATTCTTTTTACCTTGATTTATTACTTACTCAAGTATGTTTTTGTCGTTACTGATTCTCGTAAAGAAAATTATGATAATGACAGGGAAAAAAATTTTCTCATACATATAAAATACTGATAATATAGAATGTCGATTAAAAGGAGGAAGAATTGTTAATAATATTGATGAGAAAGACAATGATGAATATTCTTTATGATAGATGAAATAATATTACATGAATTGTTAAACCTTGTCATTGATTATTGTTCATTGTTAGGAGAAAATTATCAGTCAATAGAGAATATAGGAAGAGAATAAGAGTAATTTGATGAATAGAACAAAGAGAGAAAGTATTAAAAAAAAATATTTGAGATAGTAGAAGAGACAAAAAAAGAAAAGACATCTCTCATTTCTTTTTATGCACCTTCCATCTATTAAAAGATAAAATAGTATTAATATTAATGACAAGTTCTAACGATGAATAAATAGTAATGAAATTATTTTCAAAGTTTTTAAAGATTCTTTCATAATTCTTAATCTACAGCCACCCTCACAAAAATTTCGAATATTCATTCGAAAAACAACATCAAATTCTGATTCTAATATGATTCTTTAAATGTTTTACTGCTTCTGAGTAATCAATCGAAAAATAAAGGAACATATTGTCGAGAAACTTCTTTCGCATCATTCGTTATAAAAAGACGATTATTGAATAAGTTAAAATCAAAAAAAATTCAACTTCTTTTATTTTTTTTTTACAAGAAAATATAAATTCATACCATAACATGTTAAATTGATCTGTTTTTAAATGCAACTGTTGTATAAGATATTTGTACATCGACAACAAAAAAAGAAAACGATATTTAAAGTCAGCAGATAAAATATGTCGATCAGTTAACAGGTGATTTTTTTTCTTCTTCTCCTTTCTATTCTCTATTATTTTTCATTCTTAGCAAATATATGAATCAAAAGCTAAGTTGAAAATAATGACTTTTCTTCTTTTTTTTTTTCTTCTAAATAAAATAAATAATAATATATTTACTCATCATAATTTTCTTTTCGTGATAATGATGATGATGAATTTATCGTAGGTGATTCTTCTTCAATAAGAAGACTTTCGTTAGATCGTCGGCGTTTATCATGATCATTTGATAAGGATGATTCACGTTTTCGCATACGAACTTCTGTTAATGACTCATTATTACGTCTTGAAGAAACAAATCTAATAAGTGATGATGGCGAAGTTGTTGTTGTTGTTGTTGTTGTTTTTAATGAAAAACTCGATTTATCGTGATTATGATGATTATTATTAAAAACAAAATTATCATTCATTGATTTTGTTGTCATTGGTTGATAATCAAGAGAATAATAAGGATAACATATTGAATGATTATTTATTACTTTTGATAAACATATTTGATAACGACTACGACTGTTAACCATTGGATCATAGGTACCACCTAATGATATTGGAATGTTATCTAATGAATAACCATATTGTGTTGTTAAACGTTCACGTATTTGATCAACTGTACAAAATGTTACCTTGAAACAAAAAAAAAAATCTTACGTAGAATTGCTGAAAAATAAAAGAATATATATATATATATATATATGTATAAAAGTGAAAATCGTGAATAACTGTAAACAACATGCGTGCAATAGTGTAAAATCAACTAATTCTACTATGTTATTTGTCCAGTTAATATACGTATATACCATGTAACTTCTCACCCTATCACGCAATTTTTGACTTAAAAAAATCGCGAGTACCTTATAGATTACTCTAAACCATTTTGGAGCTGATATAGTAAATATATTTTTAACCATTGCGGGATAACCACCCTATAGAAAAATATAAACAATAATAACTAATTTTAAAAGAAAAGAAAACAAAATATATGAATTACTTGTAGAAGTTTAACAATTTTTTTACTAAGATTTATATTGAATTGTGATGCTGAATAATTTTGCATATCATATATAAAATTTAAACCATTTTGTTGAACTTCAATACTAAAATAAAATCAAAATACAACAAGTGAAACAAAATGTTTGTTTATTTTTTGGTTTCTCTCTTGAAAATCTTTTCAAGGAGTCAAAAGCTATGAGTTATGATTTGAATTTTGTGCACTTTCCAAATATGGGCTTAGGAGTTTTATCTCAGTTTTTATTCGAGACTAATGAAGAAACTTTTTAAATGCTCAAGAAAATTAAATTAAGTAGTGAACGAATAGATCTTTGTTAACCACTATAAATTCTTTTTTTGAAGGTATCAGTCAGTTATTTCGTCGAGCGGACACTTCTTTAAAAGATTTTATATTGAACTAACCTGTGACTTTTACCTAATGACCAGTTTTCTAATTTTCACAGTGAAAACTATCATAAAAAGACAGACTCATAATCTCATCAAGGATATCCATAGAAAGCCAAAATTTGTTTTGATAGTAGTCTTAAGGGTTCTCTATATATTCTGAAAGTTTCACAATTCTATTATCCCACATCTTTACTTATAGAAATGTCCTATAACTCGAAAAAAAGAGAGTGATAGAATTGTGAAACTTCTAGAGTATATAGAGAATCCTTAAGACTACTATCAAAATAAATTTCGGTTCTCTATGAGTTTCTTTGATGGAGTTATGCATTTTTCTTTTTATGCTAGTTTTCATTGGGAAAATTAGAAAACTGATCGTAATTTCTGAAGTAAAAGCCGTCGACTGGAGTCCTTTTGGGTTTTTTTACCTACTCGAGATCCTCTATCGAATGATATATAAATGAACGAAATTGGAACGAGACACTTGGGAATGTTCCCTCGTAAGTAAAACTATAGGTACTTTGCCTAGAGCTCCTTTCTATACAAAACATCTTTTGGTCAAAAACGAGGATTTAAGAGAAACGAAAAAAAAAAACTCCAATAATACATTTTGTAGAGTAGCTTCTGCTTCACAAGTTGATAAAGTGTCAACATTTACTGTTGAATTGCAATAATGACAATACAAAAGTGTATGGAAAAATTTTCCGTCCAAACTATTGATGATTTCCATTAGTCTCAAAAAATTTCTAAGCTTAAATTTAGAAAGAGTACAAAATTCAAGTCATAATCCATAACTTTTGCCTCTTTGGAAATACTTTTCAATTTATTCATTCATTTTTTTCTTAGTTTAACCTTTCAGTTGCAACATCAAGTTGACAAACTAACGCTTGTAATGTAATTAATTCATGATCTTGTTGTGAAAGTGAATCATTCAAAGTTAAATAATTAAGATTTGATGCTGTAAATATAACTGTTAATGGTTGATTTGGTATTTGTGACTAATTTACAAGAAAAACAAAAAAGACTATTAATAAAATGTATATTATAATAGAATACCAATGAAAAAAATTTATTTGATTCAATTTCACGAATAAGATAAGGATTTTTTATCCAAATACGATCAAGTTTTTCTGTTTTACGAAGATTCTAAAAAAGAAAAATCGCATTTATTTTTGTTTTTAAGAAAAAGAAAAAGAAATTCTATATAACCTCATGAGTTTTATATAAATCAATTGCTCGATTAACATCAAATTTAGTTGGAATTAAAAATTTCATAGCTGTATTCCATTTTACACGTGTTTCATTTGTTGTTGAATTTTCTGACCATTCCATATGTTTAAGAAATTCTTCAACTGCCTATATGATATAAACAAAAATCTATTCGTTAGATAACACAATAGAATATTTTTAATAGATTGTTTTTGCACAATAAGACTCGAAATGAACTATCCGATTCAAGAATATTTTTCTCTCATATCGAACAACAATCAAATTCTTTGTCAAACTAATCTGACCTAACCTTCCATCGAACTTTATGTTTGTTGTATGTAATAGATATTATTAAAGAAGTTTTATGGTAGAAAAACTATGTCATATTCAAGCATGGATAATATAATAAATCATAATAATTGCTTAAACTGATTATCTCTTTCGTTCGTATATAAAATATGAGAATTTTATTAACAGAAAAAAATGTATTGAAAATAAATGAGTTTTGTATCATTTTAGCTCAAGCTTTTTTTTTCGATTATGATAGTTCAGTGAGATAGTACACTATCTTATGTTTCATCTATATGAAAGTCAAATTGGACGAGTTAAGCATAATGATCATGATTAAGATCAAACACATTCGAACACGTTTTGTTTATTCGTTTGATTCAACAAACAATTTAATTTTGACAATCAAAATTATACACAGTGGTTATTCATTCTGAGGAATATTTCTAATTATCGATGCAATCTTCGAATTCTATTAGAACAGAAATGTTAGTTAATAAAATTTTCTGTGGGATCATTCGAAGCCCTATTACAAAGGGTTTCTATTCAATTTTTCTTTTGCCGGAGGCGTACACCTATTCTTTGGAATATACATACATAACATGTAATACAATAACCGCAAACTTCAGGATGGGTAGCACGACCTTCATAGTGGATAAAATACTGTTTAATAGATCAACAGTGTTATAAAATCAAAGTTTTGAAATTTCTGAATTATTTGAATGGACAGCAAAAGTTTAAGACACTTTTAGTATTTTATCGATGTTATCATTATTGAAAGCAGAAGAAAATCTTCAAAAATATACCAATAGATGCAAAATTGTACGAACTACATTTCAAAGCTCTTTCTAGCGATATATTTGAAAGTTAAAAACTATGAGAAAGTTTATCTGAATCAATTAATATTATTAAAAACTAACAATTAAGAAAAATAAATTATATCAAAATGTAGCCTATTGAATTCTGTATCTAATGGTATATTTTTGAAGATTTTTTTTTGCTTTCAATAACGATAACATCGATAGAATACTAAAAGTATCTTAAAATTTTGTGGCCTATTTTAGTTTCCTGTATGATCAACGATTGAATGTTGATATAGATATGGCTGCAAAAAAATCCAACTAAGTACATTTTTACAATTATTGAATTATGAAAAGCTTCCTATTCAATATCCTAATGTATTTGAAATAGGATTAGAATTTTTATTGTTAATAGAACAAAAGGATTTCTTTTCAATTAAAATAACTATTTACATCCAAAAAAGAATAAAACAAAAATATATAATTTGAACTTATATGAGACTAAAGAAACAATGTAAAACTTTCTTTTGTAAGTATTCTCGAAGTTTTCTTATTCAACAAAAAAAAAATGATTAATATAACTGTCGACAAGACAAATAGTCTTATTAAAATTGTCATTCAAATATAAATTCTTTTTCTTTTTTTTTTTTTTGAAAATAAAATACTTTCTTTTGTTTTTATTTCCTAGAGAAATTTCTATATATATATATTTAATAATTCCATTTATATGTTGTCATGTATTCTTTTGTGTCAAAAAAAAACCCAAACTTTTCTTTTTTTCTTTTTTTTCTATATATGCACGCACGCACATTTTTCTGTCTATACATACATGATTAGATTGTGTATAAGAAGTGTGATCGGTCAAAACGTCACTCAATGGACGATATCTTAGGAGACTGACAGAAGATTTATTACGTATATTACTACCACCTATAACATTGCTTGTTTCACCTCCAGCTACAGCATTTGTCATTGATGATGTTTTAAAAGGTTTCCTTGCAAACGAACGAATAAAATTGAATATATCAGCCGAACCCGAATGTCGATTATGAATTGAATTTGATAATGAATGAGATGAAGATAAATTTGTTTGTGTTGGATATTTAACACGTCGATTATGAGTAGTTGTAGATATTGATGATGCATTTAATACTGTTGATGTTGTTGGAGGATGATGATGATGATGATGTATAGTACCGTTAGTTAATTGAACATGAGTTGATTCATATAGAGAACATTGATTTTTAAAACGATTTTCTTCTAATACATCCGTAGCCATAGTAGTCGTTTCTTTTGTTTTTTTTCTTTTTATATTTTGTTTGTTTGTTATGTATTTTTCACAATATCAAATAATTAGAAGAGATTATGCGTATAAGAGTAATTACAAAATAATGCAAATGTGACGTAATGTGAATATAAATATAGAGTAATTTATATACTTTTTGTTTGATTAAAAGAAGTTCAGGTAGATGCAATAGATCGATTCACAATATAACGACAAAAAGTACGATGTTTATTTAGAATTCGGTTCGTTTCTTCACTTGTTCTTTTCTCCTCCCTTTTTTTTTCTTGTCATGGAGGTGAAAGAGAAAAACCTGAGTCGATAAGTGCCCTCTCTCTCCCACTGTGTATGTTTATGTATGAGTGTCTATTCTTATGTATTGCACACAAATCGAATGGATTTCATATGCTCTGTCATCTTTTTTTTATTTCATCATGTTGTGTCCGATTGCATGCTTGCGTGCATACGGACAAGACGGTGTCTATGAGTTCATTTTTTTTTTTTTTTTTTTTTTTTGGGAGAAAGCTTGTCATCAAAACAAATGGTGATGAGAAAAAGAGACATGTTTCTCTATATCTATTCATCATTCGACAAATTAGTCGAAGATATAAGTTTGTCGGGTAACTAAATCAACAATAGAGTATGTAAAACGATGAGTTCAACGTTCATTCTCTTTCTTCTCTTTTTTTTTTGTTACGTCGTATTGATTAACAAAACATTACGAATAAAAACATGAATGAATATTTGTTCTGTTTTGATCCTATTCACCTAACCGTCTGTGATGTACCTATACATATGAAGCGGATATAATAAATTCGTCAATAACATTCCAAGCATGTTTTTTTTTTGCTATAAGAATGTTTGTAATGTATAATCAAAGAGTTTATTGTTGTTGTTTTTTTTTTGGTTATAATTAATACTCACCTCATCAAAAGAATGATGATTAGATGGTGATAACATTTGATGATGACAAGGACAGAGGTTAAGAAAATCGAAACATTTGCTTAATAATTGTCGTGTTCGCCTTGCTAGCAGCATTCATTTGTCATTTTTTTTTCCGAAAAAAAAAAAGAGAAAATGATGCTAATACTCAGTATGCACAAACGCATGCGTCTTTAATTTGACCGAGTGAACGATGCCATCGGCTAAAAAAGAGAAAGAAGGACGAGAGAGAGGGAGAGGGAGAGAGAGAGAACGAGTGAGAATGAAGAGTACTATTGCTTCTTTCCTATGCTTATGGAAGTGAGTGTCAGTCAATGTAGCAACATAACTGTCTTTACAAAAAAAAAAAAAAATTTTCCCGACGGCATTACTCAACAAACTTAGGTCTTCTTATTCTTACTGAATATCCATCATTACTGTATCAATTTATAAAATAAACGGAAGCTACGTAATAATAAAAATAAATACTTATCTAAAAGTTCTATCAATTTTTTATTCATCTATTTTTAAGACAAAAAATCAACAATATCTGTTTTTATCCATTTATTCGAACATCATAAGTTCTTTCTATTTTATGGTGGATTATAATCATCATTATCATATATCTATCAATAGAATATTCATAGTTATATCAAATATGAATTTTCTAATTTATTATTAAATTAGATCAATATAATCTTCTTCTTCTTTTTTTTTTTTCTTTAGCATATAAAAGTCCTTGACATACCGGATGTACTTATGCCAATGGCTATCATAAAATAATACTTGCACTTCTCTGAGATATAGTATCCCCGAAAGATCATATATATATATATATGACGTATAGTACACAATGTTTATTTCTATTTTATTAATTAGTTTTTTTTGCTGATATCTGATGCGAAAACTATAAACAAGTTTCGCAATTTCTTCTTTGAACAATTCTATTTATGCATCGACACAAACAAAAAAAAAATAGGAAAAGAAAAATTAGTTAGTAATAATGATCAATAAAGCAAAGAGAATGAATACACACACGCACACAAAAAAAAAAAGAAAGAAACACGATAAATGAGAACAACATAAGTTTCATTATTTGATATATTGAGCCAAAACTCTACAATGCCACTGTTATGATGAGTGTAAATTACGTTATACAAAAAAAAAAAAAAAAAAAAAAAGAAAACCTAAGTGTCAACTTCATCTGAACGGTGCAATATGGCTCGATTTTCATTATAAATATACGAGCAAAACTCCTGAGATATAAACATTGCGAGTATTGCATTAATCTAAATTTTGATTTTTATCTGCAGCTTAGAAACAGAAAAAAAACACATAAATTCATTTAGAACGTAGAACAGGTGTTTGTAAAAGAAGTTCACTATCAGCAGATACAATAGGAATATTTCCTGATTTATGATATGATATAAGATGTTGAATAGAATCAAATTCATAATCTTTTGTACGAATCTATATATATAAAGAAGAAAAATAAAATTTTTATTCAAAAAATTCTTAATATACATACTATTCCTTCTGGATCAACAAGAAGTAAATGTTTATATTGATCTTTATAACGACCTGATAGAATAAATTGACCAGGAATTTTTGCACTTTCACGTACAAGAAAATCACCACTATGATGTAATAAAAGTTCAGCCTAGAAATAAAAAATTATTAAACGAAAAAAACAAAAAAAAAAGAATTATCGTTTATTGAAGATGGATTTTTTTCTTCTTCTATCTTACTTCATCACGACTAATCTTGCCATGAAACCATTTTTCTTTATAAACATCATAACTGTTCATTGTATTCAAATTTCCTAAATATATAAAATTCATATATTAATATTACTTGTTTGTCTATAGCAACAAGAAGTCCTACTATTGAATAAAAAAAAAAAGAAAAGTACACAAACTTCAATCCTTCTGCTTGATAAAATATTGTCACTGCAAGGTCGATAAGCGTTAATGAAAAAAATTCAAGGTAGAAATATTAATTGTTTCCTTAGAGCTTATGAAATGCCTTCTTTTTCTTGGTACTTTTCGCTATTTAAATACATTAACCTTCAATTTCTTGTTAACAAATAAAAGTTCACATGTCTATATTATATTACAGATGAGGGTACTTCGATCTATCTTGAGGCATAGGGAATCCTCCATTGATAACTATTAATCGTGAAATTTTCAAGACAAATATGATTAAAACTAACCGACGATATCAGTCACTTTTCGACAGTTCTTTCCATGTAAAAAAAAAATGGGGAAAAATGATTTTTTGATACATAGGAATCAATCTTAATTTGTTATTCATCGATTCAATCACTTTAATATATCAGTACCTATTTGCATGCAAAAACCTCGTTTTTTTTTTATATAAACCATGTCGTTGCCACTAACTTGATCTTCAGTAAGTATAGTAGAGTTAGAACTGTGCAAAATTGAGATTACATAATTACAATCGATTAACTTTGAAAAATACAATTTAATCCAATTGTTTCTCATAAAATAAGATTAGACTTTTCAAATCTTTCATTTTCGATCTTTATGATTATGATCATTTAGTTTATAAAGGGGATATATCATGAAGAAATAATAGAATGTAAATGATCAAAATTACACTTTCTTTTTTGCAATGAACTTAAATAGATCGAAAAGTAAAACGTCATTCATAATTAGCAAGTGTTTTTTTTGTTCGATTATTGAATAAAGTTTGTCAACGAAAAAAAAAATCTGTCACATTCAATCAGATTAAAATCAATTTTTTCATATATATAATTCAATATAAAGCAAAATATTATTGATAATAGAATAGTTGCTAAATAGAAGAATTAATATAAAGCCTTCGTAATGCATATATTCATTCTTCCTATCAGAAACTATTGGATAGAAATAAGAACTAATTATAATTTAATTATTTATGGAATCACTATCGAATCGTATGCTTAGAGATATCATTTTCCTGTAAATTTAAAATAAATATATATTATCGATAATTAAGAGGAATAAGAGTACCGTTCAAGTTCGAACTCACAAAAAATTAATCAATCAAGTCGGGATCCAAAAATCTTGATCGATCGGGGATCTGGGTCCAAAAAGTTTTAGCCAGTCGGGTACGGATCCAGAAATTCTTGGATCCGATGGAGTTTATTCCAGATATCCTGTGATTCCGTCACTTTTAATCGGTTTTTATAGAAGAAAATCGATTTTAATTATTGATAGTCTGTCAAAATCTATTTTAATCAATCATTTTAATTCTTTTAAAAACAATTGATTTTAATTGATTTTGAAAATATAATCGATTAGATTTTTTTTTTGACTTCTTTGAATAAAATCAATTTTTACTAAATCAAATTCAATTATAATCAAATGTTACATCGAATTTAATCGTAATATTTTTGGTATAATTGATTTTAATCAGATTTTTAGCCTTTTATTTTTATTACATGGGTTATGTGGAGATTACTTCATAAATCAGACAAACGAAAATCGTTTAACATAGAATTTTTATTGATGATACTGACAGCATTGAGCTGTCTAATGTCATAAGATTTATTTTCTATGTTAAGATATCCTCGTCGTAAGAAAAGAATCTATGTTGACCTTCTAGCTTCTTCGCATGAATTCCAATCAAGTTCTTGTAATCAGAGTGTAACTTGCTATATTTGTAGTCAAACTATGAGACTGAAGAATTAAAGTTTAGGTATTAGCGTTCAAATTGGAATCAAGTTCAATTTCGAACTAAGGAAAAAGTTTATATTAAAACTCGAATTCGATGAATTAAGCAATGATATTTCATTTAATACAATCGTCCGTTAATCAATTAGATTAGAATCTATAAAGTAATAAAAGGTTTGTATACACAATGGAAAATTATTCATTGATGATTGTATATTCAAGTTTTAACATAAATTTTTCCTTCGATCCGACATTGGATGTATGTGATTATTTAGAAAAGAGAAACAACGGATAATCTGAAATCGAAAATTTAATATATTTATCTCGGTTTTTTTTTGTTTACACGCAAATATTTTCATAAATAATTATCCTGCAATTTATTTAAAATTATCCATATAAACATATGTATATAAGAAAATTTCAACATACCTTGCGTTTGTTGTTGTTGATTATGATGAGGAATAAAACGTTTTAGATTTTCATCACGTTTCTATTATAAACGATACAAAAAAGTAAAAATATATAATTCTTCAATAAAAAAAAAAGATCTTATTACTTGTTGAAGAAATTCATCATGTTCAAAAGATTTTAATACTCTAAATAAAATTTTTCATTAAAAAAAAAAAAGAAAGAAACAAAAATTTCTCATACCCTTGTTGGTCATTTCCTTGTTGTAATTGTATATATTCATTATAACGTAATTCAAATGCTTGTCCAATTGTTGTTATAACATCTAATGATTCATTTTCTTCACATGAAAGTACATGACATGATCGTTTATTCATATTATCTTTAGCTACATATGCTATATAATCTTTTGTATCCTAAAAATCAAAGAAAAGGATAAAAAAAAAACAACAATTTACTAAAATAAATTCATACATGTTCTCCAGCACTTGCAAATGAGATTCCTTCCATTTTATGTGAATAAAGTATTTGTAAATCATTTAATCGTTTAAGTATAAGTGCATCAGTACTAATTGTTAACTGAACAGGTGTATGACTATATGTTAAATTTGGTTCTGTTGCAGTTTTTAATTGTCCTATTGATGGTGATTCAGGCTATAATAAATATAGATTTAAAATAAAAAAAATCTATTTATACAGATAAAATATTTTAATTACTTTACGTCGTTCTTTTAATAGAACACCAACTGCTGTACAAACTAAACGAATAGAATCACGTGCAACTCGTGTACGATTATCAAAATCAAGAGTTTTCATTGAACAAAGTACTTCAACAGATCCAATATACTTAAAAAGAAACACCAAAGATTAAGACATACAAAAAACAAAACAAAAAAATAAACAAAATTTTTACAGTGACATTGTAACTAATCCCATGACCTGATAAAAGATCACCATTTGAATGTAACCAACGTGCATTATCATCAATAGTTGCCATTTTTCGAAAAACTTAAAACCATCGAAAAGCAAAACAAAAAAAGAAAACAAGTAAATTGAAGTTAACAAGTGAACTTAAGAAAGAATGATTGATACACTAATCTACATAGTCTTTCTCTTCGTTTGTCGAGAGAGAGATCGTAACAGAAAGAATGGATGGCCAACATTTTTTTTCTATTTGCGAGTTAAGAAATAATTGGCAATAGATGTCAGACAATGCCTGATAGTTAATCTCTTTCTTTAGCAAAAAAAAGAAAATTAATCCGTAAAATAAATATTAGAAATAAAGCTTATTCAAGAAAAAAAACAGTAGCATAGTACCAAGATTATATATTATGATATTTCAGTAGAATAAACTGAAAAGAATTTATTTTGACTTGAATGATCTGTCGTAATTAGTATTAGAATTTTCTAAGGCGTTTAGATTAAACAAATGCGCATTGCATTATATAACAGAGATGTCCATGGCGGTGACGGCAGATTCTTTTTAGAGCACATTGCAAAAACTTCATGGATTTGCACAGGATTCAGGTGTCCATAAGTGTAACGCTCAGAGACCAGATGAATGTCGTGGATTTATACCAACAGTTCTAGTTCAGTACATTGATGGCAGGGATTTTCAAAAGATTTTTTGAAAACCATTGTGGCAGCAGTGTGGTAGATCTTCAGCCGCGATGGACATCTATGTTATATAATCGACACTTTTGAGAAAAAGTTTTAATTCTTTTAGAACTTGAGTAGTTCAATAAAATTTAAGGTTGTTTTTGAACATTTCCACTGTAAATTCTCTCATGAAGTCGGAACGTGCAACCTCTACGTGGTATGAGAGAGAAACTTAAAGATATCTTTAAGGCTAATGCGCGTACGCAAAACTATCGGGCAGCAGCGATAGTGGATCGTAACGAAGTACTCGGACTGCACTGAAGAAGGAAATGGTAAACCACTTCAGTATTCTTACCAAGAAAATTCAATGAACAAACAATCAACGACGTTTCAATTTATGGTGCTGGAAGATGAGACTCCCAGGTCGGAAGGCACCGAAAAGATGACTGGGGAAGAGCCAAGGTCGAGTACAATTAGTACTGTAAATAATGACGCTATTGCAGCAAAGCCGAAAGGAAGTTCAATCGCTGAGCACTACAGATACAAGCGGAAAGACCAAAGCTTTTTAAAAACACATAAAATTGGTACATGGAATGTAAGAAGTATGAATCAAGGCAAGCTCGAAATAGTCAAATCAGAAATGGATCGAATCAAAATAGACATTCTCGGAATAAGCGAACTCAAATGGACAGGAACTGGTCATTTCACATCAGGCAACTACGAATTTTATTATTCTGGCAGCCAGAACACCAGAAAAAATGGAGTGGCCATGGTATTAAACAAGAAACTCGTTAATTCAGTAATCGGATATTATCCAAAAAATGATAGAATGATTTCTATTCGACTTCAAGGAAAACCAACGAACTTAACAATAATACAGATCTACGCACCAACTACAGAAGCAGAAGAATCAACAATCGATGATTTCTACATGGATTTACAACAAATACTCGACGATGTTCCAAAGAAAGATGCCATCCTGATAATTGGTGATTGGAATGCAACGGTTGGCGAAACAGCAGTACCTGGTATAGTTGGAAAATTTGGTTTGGGAAAATGCAATGAAGCAGGTGAGAGATTGCTTGATTTCTGCCAAGAAAATCATATGATCATCACCAATACATGTTTTCAACAACCGAAACGACGACTATACACATGGACAACACCAAATGAACAACATCGAAATCATATTGATTATATTCTCTGCAATAGACGATGGAAAAGCTCAATAACATCAATCAAAACACGACCAGGAGCTGACTGCGGTACTGACCACGAACTCTTGTTAGCGTGTTTTCGAATCAAGCTCAAACAACATCACAAATCAACACAAACAGCAAAACCCGATCTACGAAATATTCCGTACAAATACAAGGTAGAAGTAAAAAACAGATTCGACACGCTCAATCTGATCGACAAAGAACCTGAAGAACTATGGCAAGAAATACGCGACATAATCAACGACGAAACAAAAAGAAATATACCAACAATCCCAAAGAAGAAGAAAAACAACTGGATATCGTCAAGCACTTTGGAAATCGCAAAGAAAAGACGAGAAGCTAAAGCAAATGGAAACAGACAAGCCTTCACAAAACTTATAATACCGACTTTCAACGTGCAGCAAGAAAAGACAAAGAAAAACAAATTATGCAAGAATGTGAAAAAGTAGAAGAATACAACAAGAAAGGTATGGCAAGAGATTTATTCAAGAAGATAAAATATTTCCGTGGACAATTTATACTCAGAAATGGCACCTTAACAGATCAAAATGGTAAACATTTAACAAGTGGTGATGAAATCAAAAACGAATGGAAACAATACACTGAGGAACTATACAAGAAGGAAACCAATGGTACAGGAAATTTGGAACTCGACGATTATGAACTGGAACCAGATATTTTGGAAAGCGAAGTTAAATTCACCATGGAAACATTAGCAAATGGAAAAGCATCTGGACATGATGGTATTCCAATTGAATGTTTCAAGACAATTAAAGAAGATGCAGTGAGAATATTAAGAAAATTATGCCAACAAATATGGAAAACGCAAAAATGGCCTCAAGACTGGAAAACATCGATATTCATTCCAATACCGAAGAATGGAAATGCCAAAGATTGCTCTAATTACCGGACAATCGCTCTCATCTCACATGCCAGCAAGATCATGTTGAAGATTATACAACGGCGATTGGAACCTTTTCTCGAACGAGAAATGCCAGTCACACAAGCAAGATTTAGAAAAAGAAGGGAAACACGCGACCAAATAGCAAATCTACGGTGGTTGATGGAAAAAGCTCGTGAATACCAAAAAGAGTTTTACTTATGCTTCATCGACTATAGTAAAGCTTTCGACTGTGTAGATCACGAGAAACTCTGGTCTGTATTACTGGAAATGGGTGTGCCAAAGCATTTGATTATCCTTATGAAGAACTTATACACCAATCAACAAGCATCGGTGAAAACGGATTATGGAAATACCAACTGGTTCAACATCGGAAAAGGTGTACGACAAGGCTGCATACTATCTTCATACTTATACAATTTATATGCAGAGCATATAATGAGAAAAGCTGGGATAGATGAAGCAGCAGGTGGTATAAAGATTGGTGGACGAAATATCAACAATTTACGTTACGCAGATGACACTACAATATTGGCTGAAACAGCTGATGATCTCCAATGCCTCCTACGGAAGGTAAAAGAGGAAAGTGCAGCTGCGGGACTAAAACTGAATATGAAAAAGATCTTCGTGATGACAAATGGACCCATTCAAGAATTTCACATCGACAATGATCAAGTGGAAATAGTCAAAGAGTTCATTTTCTTGGGCTCTAGTATAAACACCGATGGTAGCTGCAGTAACGAAATAAAAAGAAGACTTATGGGTAGAAAGGCAATGGTTAGCCTGGACAAACTCATCAAAAGCAAGGACTTCAGCTTGGCCACCAAAATTAGAGTAATCAAAACGATGGTTTTTCCGGTAACAACGTATGGATGTGAAAGCTGGATCATAAAACAAGCAGATCGAAGAAAAATCGATGCCTTCGAACTTTGGTGCGGGAGAAGATTACTTCGTGTCCCATGGACGGAAAAAAGAACCAACAAATCTGTTTTACAAGAAATAAAACCTGAATGCTCACTGGAAGCTTCAATGGTGAAATTAAAATTATCATACTTTGGACATACAATGCGACGACAAGATTCGTTGGAAAAACAAATAATGCTTGGCATGGTCGGTGGCAAACGGCGCAGAGAAAGGCAAAAGAAAAGATGGATTGACACAATAAAAGAAGACACAAATTTAACATTAACTCAACTCAACACAATGGTACATAACAGAAACATGTGGAGAAGTCTGATTCATCGGATCGCCAAGAGTCGGACTCGACTGAATGGATAAAACAACAACTGTAAATTAAAAATCTAGTAAAACAAAGACTCAATAAAGTAACAAATTCTGCTTTTTCATATTTTATCAGAGTTCATTTCTCTTGAATATTTGGATATACAATGGTTTGCAAAAAAACTTGGAACAAACTGACAACATTAACATTTTATATTTTCTAGATTCCCTCGAACCTTTATTTTGCTGTTATTGTAAATTTATACTTATCAGATTATCTGCTAAAAATGTTCATGTATTTGACTAATTTCTATTCTGTCGTTCTTTAATCATAATCTGACATGGTAACGACAAATAGTCTAAAACCACATCATGTTTCTGTATTACATTATTGGAACATAGGAATTCGTTCTGTCAGAAAAATCCATCGAGATACGAAGATACCAGCGTCTACAATTAGTTATCAATTGAAAAAACTCTGAACTCAAGGTTTTCTACAACATCGAGCAGGTAATGGTTGAAGATGTAAGATTGGCGCCAAATGTAGCCAAGCATTAGATCAATTTATGAGACGAAATAATGAAGTCATGTTGCATGAATTAGCTAAAAAATTATGTAATCAATGTAAATTAACTGTTTTCACCAGCACAATCTCACGTTATTTAAATCGTCTTCAATATGAAAATTGTTTACCATTAAATACTTCAATGCTCATACAAGAACATAAAGAATGTTGAACTGAATGGATCGAACAACGTTTAAATGGCAATTGGAAATCTACAGTATTTACCGACGAGAGTTCATTTCAATTGTTTAGAAATACAATTCGTCAGTGATCAAAAAATCCAAAAGAAGAATAAAAAAGAATTCGGAAGAATCGACAAAAAAGTTCCCTCGACTGAAGGGAGGGTCATATGAAAAAAAATAGTTTGTCCGTTTGTTTTCGCAAGGTCAAAAGAACATCAGGGTCAAAAAAAAACATCCGCTTAAAGAAGTTTTCGATTTGAGGCTTTCGACCAATCAGGTTTTGGGAAGCTGAGAATTTCAGCCAATCACAGATCTTCGATATCTGGCTTTCGTCCAATCAGATTCTTTCAAGTCAGAAATCCAGCCAATCAGGGGTTTTTGATATCTGGCTTTCGTCCAATAAGATTCTTTCATATCGAAAATCCAGCCGATCGGGGGTTTTCGATATCGAGCTTTCGTCCAATTATATCCTTTCATATCGAAAGTCTAGCCAATCATGAGTTTTCGATATCGAAGTTTCAGCCAACCAGATTCTTTTATGTCGAAAATCCAGCCAATCGGAGGTTTTAATATCTAGCTTGTTTACGATTCATTTTAAAAAATTTTAATAGAAAATTTAAAGGCTCGGCCGTTTTATAAAATGGTCGTCAGTGGCAATATTATACAGTTTATGTGTATGTTCTCTAAGCAAGGTTCAGCAAGAAATGATAGATAATGATTAGAAGGAATTCAGTCGAGGGTGAAGCGAGTCGTAGCGACGAGCGTTACTTGTTCATGTTTGAGGTGCTATCAGTTATCATGGAGCAGTTGGTTTTCATTCATTTCAAAATATTATGAACAGTGGTTATTACATCGAATTATTAGAAAAAACAACTTGACTCCCAATGTTAAACGACAATTTAATAATAAATGACGACTTCAACAAGATAATGATCCTAAACACCGATCTTCAAAAACTGAAGGATGGTTGACTGCCGATGTTCCACTTATTATGGACTGGCTATCCAATAATCCGGACCTTAGTCCGATTGAAAATATGTGGAACATCATGAAATATCGGATTGAAAAAAGATGGAAAAAGATGTTATAATCAATTTGATTAACAGCATGAAAAACAGATGTCTCTTAGTTATTGAGTCAAAAAGTGAACGAATCAAATATTGAACTATAGATTGTAAAACTGTATATTACTATGTATTAAATAAAGAAACAGTTTTTTTGAAAGCAGTTGAGATAGGCGTTAACACAGGCTAAAGATTTCTTCCAAGTTTTTTTGCAAAGCCATTGTATTTCTTTGTAAATATTAACTTTTATTTGATATTCTATCAGTTACTACCATTTTTTATATGCTATAATAGCAATGATCAAAATGTCAATAGCACAAATTTTCGTTTTGTGTATATATATAGTGGCGGGCTTAACTTTAGAACAGCTGCATTTTTAAGTTTTTTTTTCGATGGTAATAGCTAGCAAGAATCTGAAAAAAGAACATTTGTGTAGCTGAAAGGATTCTCTATTAGGATTGATAGATTCGAGAATTCTAACAAAACGGCTTAGATGAAAGTCTGCGGAAAACCAAGGTCCCTAGAACCAGATTTCTGACTTCCATTCGAAATTTGTGGGAAAATATTTTATTTGACAGAGCAGGATGAGACGCTTTCGGTCTCTCCATTCCTTTAATTGAAAATTGCAATGCTTTTGCTATGCTTGACTCCTTGAAGTCGTCTATAAATTGAATGCAACTCGATAAAAGAAGATCATGGAGAGATGGGAGATGTTTCATTTTGATCTATCAAATAAAATCTTTTCCTAAAAGCTTCGAACGAAAGCCAGAAAGTTAGTTTTTCGCAGATCCTCATTCAAGTATTTTCACTGAAGTCTTCGAGTCAATGGCTTAACCAGAAATTTTTAACTTATAAGTCGTTTCCCAGCTAAATTATTTTGAGGTGTGGGCAGCAATCGAGAAATAAAAATCAATTGAGCTACAATTTTTTAAAAACTTATTGCCATCACAAAAACTGATATTGATCGAAGAGAAGTTCGTTACTCTCAACTACAATGCGAGCTTGTTCGTTTTTCTCGGTGTCAGTTGATCATTCCGATTCATTTGATTAGATACAAAATATTAAAATGAATCCACTTCAGTGTTTGTACATGTGTATCAAGATTTTTCGACATTGAATAATTGCTCAATGGCCGTACTTGTGGCTACGCTATAGCTTCGAGCCTATCAATCCTGACAGAGAATCCTTTCAGCTACACAAACGTTTGTTTTTTTTTCAGATGCCTGTTAGCTATTACTATCTAGAAGAAAATTTAAAAATGCAACGACTCCTAACTTTTGTCGACTACTACAAGTGTACATAAATCATCGACTATCTTAATTCTTTTATTTTCAATGATTGAAGTTTATCAAATAATAGATTGCGTGACTTTCATACAATAGAATATTTGTCAGTTTTTCTTTATTCAAAATGTATTCATATTTAATATATAAATTAGATTGATTAAAGTATTCTTTAGAGTCAACGGAAATTGTTAAATTAAAGAACGGATCTTATCAATAGTATTCATATCAATTCGAACTTTTATAATTATTTATATGAAAAAAATCAGTAGTATTCCATATTTTTTAAGAAGTATTTTTTTTTCTTTTGTTTTTTATTTTCTCATTCCAAAACAAGTCAAGAAGAAAAATTCTAGTTAAAAGTTTTCGACATAATGAATAATACTATATTGAGAGTAGAACAAGAAAGCATCAAAAAAAAAAAAAGAACTCGATATGTCATGGGAAAACGTTCGGTAATAGTAATCGTCATTCCAAAAAAAGAAAAACAATACAACTATGTTTTCAACGTTCTGCAAAAAACGACACGAACTTAAACGTTAAATTGATGTCGGCGATAATCAAGACGATAGAATATATCTATAGAAATGAATCTAATTTATGTTAAATGGTACTATATGACGTGACACAGTTCTATATTTTAATTCTATAATGGTTCAAAAAAAAATAGAAAAAGAAACTTATGTTGTAATCCCCTTAGAAGATTACATCAATTATCTATTTGTATTAACTTATGATTTCTTTACTTTTTATTTGATCCTTATCTATTTTTTTTTTCTTTTCAAATAAGAATTATATAGAACGATCACTCCTGCCGTTATTTAACGGCGTAATATATCATTAGCCTTCATGATCATTTTGTTGCTATAATGTATCATTCCCTTTTATAAGCAATTTGTCTTTTTTTTTTTCACTAGAAAACAGTCATCATTTATACTGTGAAACAATATACAAATATTTTATTGATTAATTTTTTTTGTTTTCTTTCTTACATATACAATACATGAAATAGATGCAATAAGAATGCATTTTTGGAAATGAATAAAATAAAATAAAGTGAAATGAAATGAAATAAAAGTTTACATGTATGTAGAAAAAAATACCAATGAAATTTTGTTCGGTATTCTATGTAATGGTTGTATTTGAGGAAAATAAAGAATTTAAATTTATTTCCATGGTAATTTAAATGGTAATTTATCGGCTATTGTATTTAATGCATTTGTTGCCATTTTAACTGGATCAAAACCTATAAATAAAACAAAAAAACCAAAAAAAAATCAAAAAATACAATATGAAAATAAAAACTTACTATCATCATCATCAGGTAATGGAATAGGTCCTTTTTTGTCTGCTGTCAAACGTCCTTCGCATGGTGGTGGCAGCGAAGCTGCTTCTTCTTTTTTCTGGATATTATACTAAACAAAAAAAAAAGAAAATCGTCGAAGAATGGTTATACTATTTTTTTTTATTTATATCAAAAGAATAATGTTAAATAAAAAACCTCATGATTATATTTACTATGAATCTTACTAATAATTGACTTAGACTATTAATATATATATTTAAATAAAAAATAGATATCCATGAAGAATTCAATTACTAAAAATAAATATTCGAACAACTAACTGTGTTTTCAAAAAAAAAAAGTTATAAATCACTTATAGTCTTTATCAATATTGTTAAAGTGGTCAAGTTTGAATAAAAGAAAAAAAAAATCTAGCAAAATTTCAATCATATCGTGACATTCATAAACAAAAGCCTATCAAATTCATTGAACAATTATATCCCAAGAGTCCTCTTTTAAATGACAGTTTTATCTATTTTTTTTGTTCTTTCTAACCTAACATTGATATCTATTTTTTTATTTTAATAAAAAATTTACTTTTTCTCTAATAGATTGTCGAACTTCTTCACGTTGACGTTCCATTTTAGCATATTTTGCATCACGTTTTTCTTCAGCTTCACGTCGAGCTTCAGTAACCTAAAAATATATTAGATATTTTGTCTTTTTTTTTTCTTCTTTAATTCATGTCAAATATAAACATCTGTATTAATATGATTAGTTAGGAATAAAATTAGATAACATTCTTGTTAATTATGTGTTGACCATCCTATTTACTCACCGCCGCTGATTCCACCATACTCTTACGACGAGGAGTCGCCGGTGTAAGTGATGGTGATGATGGCGTTGATTTTGTAAATAATGGTGCAAGTGAAAGTCGTCGAGTTGTATTCGATGAAGAAGGGGCAGATAGGAATAATGCATTCACATTTAACTTATCCATAGTTATAACTTATTTACGAAAAAAACAAAAAAAAAAGACAAATTTGAATAATTATTGTTTTGTTTTACCAAAATCGAATGAATAGTTAAAATCTATGAAACTATTCGAGAGGTTGGTAATGATGATGATAGAGTAGTGAATGATAAGAATTGTTTATGTTAGAAAAAAAAGGAAAATGTCACCCATTGAGCGTTCACTTAAAAAAAAAAAAGAAGAGAAGAAGAGAGACAGAAAAAAAAACATCAAAATAGAGAAAATAAGACAAGAAGAAACGGGAAGGAGAAGAGAAGCAAAAACAAAACTAAGACTAGGTTAGTATGATACCATGTTGATCTCTAGTGAACCAATACATTTTGACTATTTGTCACTTGTTGAGTTAAGAGGTTTATTGAAGAGAAAAGAAAAAAAAATGAGAAGAAATAAATTAGAAAATAATGTACGCGTGGACAATCAACAAGATATGATCTAACTATAAGAATCATTGGATGATCCAACCAAGCAAAAATAATCATCAAAAATTTTTTTGATAATGACGTATATGTGAATACTAATAGAGAAATAAAATAGATGAGTCTAGTGAAATTCTTTTCTTTTCATGTTTCTTATTCAAGATGACAAAAAAATGTTAATTATTGAACAGATTCTTTTGACAATAATAATAATAATAATAAAATTGATTATGACAAACAACACAAGCAAAAACGACATACACACACCCACCCGCATATATATATATATATATATATAAACAAATTCATTTTTTACCTCAGGATCTTCTTCATCATTACCACCATCTTTTTTATCGCCATCGCCACCAGTCAATTCTTTAATTTGAAACAAAATAAAGAAAACAACAAAATCATTAAATCATCAGAATATAAATATGATCTCATATTGACTCATCTTTATTTCAATATAAATTTATGGTAAATATTCATTGATTGTTTTTTTTTTGTGTACTCTTAGAATATTAACTTATCAATCATATCCTTATCAAAGATATAAACATCATCGAATTATTTACTTCGAGCTTACAAATGAGAATTTCTCGATAAACTATTATATTGTCAAATTAACTATTAAACGTACAAATTGAATAAGCATGATTGATGAGGTACTACGTAGATAGTCAAAGCAATGAGAACAAAATCATGACTTCGAGGTTGTTTGTTGTATTTCTTAGTTACCTATCTAGTAGTCTCTTGTGTATTTGTCTATGTAAAAGACAGATAGATACTCGAATTCAATGAACCAATATTAATCGTCTCCAATGAGCGACATCATAAGAATATGAGAAAATTCTATTTTCTTTCATACCTACCTTTAACTTTATCTAACTGAGAACCCATCATTTGTTTCATAATAAATGAAGCCATAATAATTTTTAAATTATATACAGATCAATAAATACGACAAATTATATATATATAGCTATAAGAAAAATAAAATAAAATAAAACTAGTAGGAACATGTGTATTTATTAACGAATGCATCAAGCAAAGTTGCTATGTCTATTTGAAGGACTGGCAAAAGATCCCTTCGTTCATTATATTAAGTTTTCTTTTTTTCTTCTATCGTCGTATTTTCTTTTTTTTTTCCATTCCTCTGTTCTCGCTATTACTATTAGTATTTCTACCGCTGACAGCTCGATAGTGTATTCCTTTTTTTGACTTGCTATTTCAATGTTATTTGTATAGAGAACTATCTTTGCGCTTCTTTGATTCTCATCACATTCCACAACCAAGAATATTACTGTCAACACATAAGAGCATAGTTCTTTTCTGATCATTACAACGAAAAAAAAACAAGCAATAGCCCTAGAGAGAAAAAAAAATATGAACAGAAGAGGAAAAAAAATGAGTCTACATCTATTTTATATTATACGATTAACTATAGTCTGCTATGTCATCATATTTATTTACACAAAACAAAAAACAAAAAAATTTGCAGAAAATACTTTGTTTTTTTTTCTCATCGTTTTGCGATATATAATCGATCAAATATACAAAAAGTGTATTCATAGATACGAATAGGGCAATACCATTCTTTCAAAATCTACTTAGTAAAACTTATTCTTTTTCTTTTTTTTTTTGCTAATCCGAATATCTCGTGATAAAAATGAATAAAGATTAATACAATGAAAATAATATTTATCTCTAAAACATATATATATATATTAAATTCTATCTATTGAAATATGAATACTTGATTATGACAAAATAATAAGGGACGATCTTTTTTTTTTTTTTCTAAAGAGGGGAAAATATAATGATGAAGGGCGGAGCAATGTGCTAGAAAAAGAAACGATGGCATAAAAAAGTGAATTGAAAAAAACATTGATTGGTGTATGTCAAATTACGAGTCTATTTAGACCATTTATAGAGGTCCTACGTTCTCAATGATTATATTTTCTCAATTAGAAAAAAAAAAAACAAGATCTCTTCCATCAATACTAATATTTAATCGATCTGTCAAAAATAAAATCAAGAATATAAATCATAGTACACCTCAATTATTTATAAAATTTTTGTCGATGCAATACGCTGTCAGCTCGCTTTTTCCCTTCATTTAAAAAAGAAATATACTAGATTGTGAACAAAAAAATGAGTTTGACAGAACACCGACGGAAATGTTTCTTATTTTTTTTTCTTTTTGAGATTGTCTGATTGATAAGATCAGAAAATAGAAAAAGAAAAAAAAAAGTAGCATGAAACACATTTGATCATAGGAAAAAATTGCATTTGCGTGCCAAAACTACCGCTTTCTTTTTTTTTGTTTTTCTTCTTTTCAACATCGACGGATGCAATGCACTGCCGTCATTGATGAATCGAAAAAATTTTCTCTTTTTATTTGTTTGTGCTCAAATCCGATTGTCTCGTGTTGTAACGTACGATTTCACGTCAAGTAGAAAAAAACAAGAAAAAGTAATCAACAACAAAAATAGAAAAGCAAAAAAACAAAATAGCCAAATTTTAGAACCATTCAATAGATATACGTTGATCATAAGTAGAAAAGCATGTTAAATTATATTTTTAATATTAACTCATACTCAAAATAAAGTGCAAAAATAATAAAAATACATTTTTGTTTTTGTTTTTGTTTCTGTTAGAAAAAATTGTACTGTATTTAATCGAAGCCTTCAACAGGCCATTTGAATTTTTTATGTAAGGATTCTTGTCCACGTGTATATTTGCCATATTTTTCTAATGTACAATTTTTATCTGTTGTTCGCCAACCAATTAAACTACTTGTTGTCATTGGTAATGGTCTTGGTGATGGACAAACTGTCACTTGTTGTTTGGATTGTTCTTCAATATGTTTAGTATTCATTGTCGAAGAAGGATTACTAGAAGCAATTAAAGTTCTTGGTGATCGTTTTGGATCGTATGATGAAGTCTATTAAATATTCATTCATTTGATTAATAATTTAAAAAAACAAAATTTAAATTATACTTGAGGTTGAATATCATTAAGAAAACCCCATTTTTTATCATGAATTTTTTGTGCTGTATCAATTTTCGATATATGATCTTTCCTTTAAAGTATTTAAATAATATGACATATATATATATATATATACATATATAAGAAAGACATGAGTAAATCATATTACCAGATAAGATCTTTGACAACATAAGATTTTTTATCATTGTATTGATCAGTTCGTTTTGACGATGTTGCCATCTTATTCTTTCAATGTTACATACAATAATAATAATAATAACAATAGAATCGATGTAAAATATGACCGAAAAAAGAAAAAAGAAGAAAAAAAGAAAACTCCTATCGAGCACAAACGAACGAGAGAGATTGCAGTATGTCAACAGAACAATGGTAATGACAAGGGAATACTATAGGCTTTTTTTTTAAAATGTTAAAAGTAAATGGAATCAATGAAAGAACAAAAAGCATAAATATATAAAAAATTATGTGATTGAACAAAAAGAAAACCAGAAAGAAAAACGAGTCTAGGCCATCTGATTAACTTCTTGTCTACATATATATATATATAAATCAAAAGTTTGTTTTTTCTCTATGAGTTTCCTTGTCGTTTGTTCTTATTACTAAGAAATAAAAATTGCTTGTCTATTAACCAATATATACCATGAACGCTGCGGAATCTGGTACGTTTTATCAAGATAAAGATGACTCTCTTTCTTTATGTTAATCATTTCCATATACTTATCTATAGACAAAACTCCTACAGAGAGACATACAAAAGAGAAGAAAAAAAAAATAGAATAAATTTTAATGTTTTAACAATATCATTAGAGTTCCCGTCATCGTCTGTTGACAGTTTTCGATTTGTCTTGTCGTCGTTATGGCTTCCGCCTTCGTTTATCTTAGAAAATCATTGAAGAAAAAAAAAAGAAAAAAAATGCATAACAAAAAGGGAATGAAAGCAACTATGATAAATCGGATCGTTATTAAAGCAATAGTCGACAGTAACTATTAGTTGAACTATAACGTCTATAAGCTAGTACAAACAATGGCATCACAACAATCCGATGATGATACTTGTTTTGAATCACCTGTTAGCATAAATCGTCGAGTTTTTTCATCATCATTATCAACATCACCGAAATCAATGACAGCGAAACGTAATCATGAATCATCATGTACAAAAATTTCATGCCATTGTTTTTTTTTTGTTTATTTATACTAAATATATATTTTAATTTTTAATAATTGTTTTCTTTTTGTGTTTAACTAGACGATACCGTAAGTCCATTGTTACGTCAATTAAAATCAACATCATTATCAGTACAAGAAAATGGTGAAAATGAACGAAGTGTACATCTTCGTCGTCGACCAAGTGTACTCGATGAAAAAGCATTACGTGAAGCTGATACGCAATCCGTTCGTGAACAACGTATTAATGCTATTACTCGAAGTTATGAAGGTATTTTGGGAAGTATTGGAGAAGATCCATCACGACAAGGTAGAATATTATTTTCTTCTTTGTTCATCTTTTAAACTGTTATTTGATTTTTTCCTCATAGGTCTTCTTAAGACACCAAAACGTGCTGCTGAAGTATGTAGAAAATGTTAATTTGAATGTGATAATAATAATAATAAGAAGAAAAAAAATCACCTAATCGATTATTTTCTTCATAAAAGATAAAATCAATTATATATTTTTTCTTTAGGCATTAGTTTTTTTCACAAAAGGTTACGAACAAACAATTCGCGATGTTGTTAGTGATGCTATCTTTGATGAAGAATGCGAAAATATGGTTGTAGTAAAAGAAATTGATATTTATTCTTTATGTGAACATCATATGTATGATAAGAAGTTTCTTTTATTTTGTTTGTTTTTGTGAATATCAAAAACAAAAAACAACTTAATTTTATCTAGGGTACCTTTTTTCGGTAAAGTATCTGTTGGTTATTTACCAAATAAACGAGTATTAGGTTTAAGTAAAATAGCAAGGTAATAGATTAATTTATATCAATGAAAAATCTTTCAATTTCTTTGTATAGAATCGTTGAAGTATTTAGTCGACGTTTACAAGGTTTGTAAATGAAAAAAAAAAACAAAAAAGAAAAATGAATTTTTTTTTTCTTTTGAACATTGATATTATAGTACAAGAACGTTTAACACGACAAATTGCAGAAGCTATTGCCGAAGCAATTGAACCAAGAGGCGTAGCTGTCATTGTCGAATGTCTGTAAGTAATAGAAAAAACAAACCAAGAAAAATGTAAATGAATAAGTAAATCTTGTTTCTATTTTCATTTTAGTCACATGTGTATGATTATGCGAGGTGCAGAAAAAGTTAATTCACGAACAACAACATCAGCAATGCTTGGTGTTTTTCGGGAAGATCCTAAAACTCGCGAAGAATTCTTAACACTTGGTCGTATTAAGCCATTTTAATATTTACGAACAAATTGAATTTGGATTTTTCTATCATAAAATATTCTTGCATATTGCCATATTACTCATGACAAAATAAATAAATATCATCTATACAGAACGATGTTTCTTTTTTTAATTTCAAATTAAATAGAGTGTAGATGTGAGTGTGAATCTTCTCATCAGCCATAGACGCACACACTCATACCGCCGTGAGAAAATATGTGCTACTTTTAAGATCATTTTATATTTTATTTTAAGTATAACGATCGAAATTTTCGATCTTCACAAGAACCATTTACAACCTAAAACAGAACCAATAAAATGTGGCAATTACTTTAAAATTATCTTATGAACACAACATGTTTTCTCTTGTCATTTAATTCTCCACCACTTTTAAGCTTCATTCTATCTAATTCTACTGATGCACTTGCATAAGCTTGTTCTTCACCAACGTTAATATCAATATCTCCTAATTTGTGTTTAGCAATAGATTCATCTGTGCAAGCATTTGCTTTGACATTATCGGCTCCAACGATTGTATTCGGCTTGTCTTGAAACGACAAAACAGAAATTGCACCATCTGAATAGAGTGAAGCAATCTTTTACAATGTTGACTACATTTTCAAGAGACGATGATGTTGGATCTAATTTAAAATCTCTCAATGGTGTATTTATATCAATCTCATTGAATCCAGCATTAAATTCAAGTCCATCAACAGATGTATTTATATCTATTGATGATAGATCGATTTCAGATCAGAACTGTCAACAAATCACTAGCAAATCAAAACAATGAGACAATCATTACAAAAATTTTTCATAAAAGAAAGACTTGAAGCAGCACAATATTTTAAAACGAAGAGCCAAAAGAAAATTTACAATGAAAATGTACGAAATAAGTGATACTTAAAATAACAGACAAGGACATTTACATTTGACAATCAATTTTCGCAATAGTATGAACGAAAAATTTACTATCCAATTATTTTAGATCTAAACAAATTTTTCTGTTCGTCGATGTAAGTCCTACACAACATTGAATTGACGTTCGGTTCAAGCATTTGTTGCTATAGTCGAATAATAAGGTAATGTACATCAACATTTCATTTATAAATCATAAGAGTCAGGCCGATAGTTCTGCTTCAAATGTAGTAAGTTCAGTCAAATATTCTTCTCCAATATTATTCGAACTGCCATACACGGGTGGACAAAAGTATTCCCCCTCCTTTGATCTTAACTCTTATAAGAGCTAAACGTTAGAAAATCGGTCTATAGGTAGTCCACAGAGAATGTAGATCGACAATATCATCAGTACCAAAATTGCTCAATGCTAGAACGAAGTTATAATAGATGCCGTGCACCTCCCTTCTAAATTTCGTAACTCGATAATAGAAAGAGCTTTTGAGTCAGCCAATGATTCATTTTGTAGTCCTACATTATGGCTATTTCCAATAGAAATTTTATTGAAGTCTATCTGGTTGTTGAGAAGCTAGACCATTTTTACTGAGAACATGGATATACGCAAAAACAACAGAATGCCATTGAGAGATCAATAACTCAGTAATAGTTTGGTGGATCTATCTGAAATTTTTAAGAGATATTCTCACATAGGTGGCCATTGTTTCCTGGAGGTTTCAGAAGTAAACGCTTTCCTTTATGGAAATGGTGCATCGATCACTATCACGAACTTGTCAAGACTCTAGAGTCTCCATTACTCAAGCAAATGAGCTCATCTTTTGAGCAATAAAGGATCATAAGTTGGAGTACAAGTTCATGCTAAAAGATCGATAATTACTTGTATATTTGATTAAAAACAGCAGGTAAATTTAGTAAGGTCAATTTTAGCTATTTTCCTGCTAATATAACAAAACGTCTTCGTATATCAATATTTCACTGAGAAAATCTTTTCGAACCGTTCGAAAGATTTATGTAACAACAGAAATTCTTGTACTCGAGATATCTAAGGAGTTCTTCACCAGAATTTTCAATCAAATTGTAGTATACAATCATATGGTTTTTATAAAACTCTGACAATATCATATTTTGTAGAATGTAGAAAATAATTACTGAAGAATGCGAACACCGAAACTTATCTGTAGTATTTTTGTTATAATTACCAGCCATTTCGATCTGAATATTTCATCCTCTGACGGAGGCAGCTGGTTTGCACTGTTTTCTAAGAACGTTGAACCATCCAGAAAGATTTTCCCAGCGAAATATTGATATACGAAGACGTTTTGTTATATTAGCAGGAAAATAGCTAAAATTGACCTTACTAAATTTACCTGCTGTTTTTAATCAAATATACAAGTAATTATCGATCTTTTAACATGAACTTGTACTCCAACTTATGATCCTTTATTATTCAAAAGATGAGCTCATTTGCTTGAGTAATGGAGACTCTAGAGTCTTGACAAATTCGTGATAGTGATCGATACACCATTTCTATAAAGGAAAGTGTTTGCTTCTGAAACCTCCAGGAAACAATGGCCACCTATGTGAGAATATCTCTTAAAAATTTCAGATAGATCCACCAAACTATTACTGAGTTATTGATCTCTCAATGGCATTCTGTTGTTTTTGCATATATCCATGTTCTCAGTAAAAATGGTCTAGCTTATCAACAACTAGATAGACTTCAATAGAATTTCTATTGGAAATAGCCATAATGTAGGACTACAAAATGAATCATTGGCTGACTCAAAAGCTCTTTCTATTATCGAGTTACGAAATTTACAAGGGAGGTGGACGGCATCTATTATAACTTCGTTCTAGCATTGAGCAATTTTGGCACTGATGATACTGTCGATCTACATTCTTTGTGGACTACCTATAAACCGATTTTCTAACGTTTAGCTCTTATAGGAGCTAAGATCAAAGGAGGGGGAATACTTTTGTCCAGCCGTGTATTCTAAAATAAGACCATTGAAATATGCCGATGAATAGAAATGACATGAAAAAAACGTACTTGCTCCATAACCATATCTTAGAATAGAAACAAATAGTGTAATGTAGAGCTGATATAATTACAATGCATTAGCGGCAGAATGTTTTTAATTTAGGGTAGTCTCAGCAATCATCATAAGATTCTCACCGAAAAGTTAAGAATATGTAGGAGAAGAACGAACCTTTTTATGTCATTTAGATGAAATACAACTAGTACTTCTGATTTCTTACTTATAGTTCGAACTGTCTAAAGTGAGTACGATTCAGAAAAAAAATTGAAACTTGTGTCAAATGATGTGCATTTAAAGAAACACACCAACATTTTTTTTAAATTTAATTTGAAGTGTTGAAAGAAGAGTTTTCAAGTTACTTTACCAAGAAAGAGAAAAATGATCAAGTATCAGTGTTCACACAACAAAAAAGGAGTTACATTATGGGTTTATACACTTTCTTGAAAATATTTCTTAGATATGTAAACCTAGCCACTGAGATCTATGAAAACTTTCGACACCTTTCAATTTATCTAACTTGAATTTCTAGTACCATTTTACTTCACTTGTTACAAAGGAATACTAGTTCAAACCATTGGCTATGTAGACTCCATCATATAATCATAGAAAACGTCAAAGGCAGTGAAAAATTTGGCCGTTTATATAAGAGTTTTTGACGCACTGCATAAATCTATCAAATTGATAGGATGAGAAACAAATGTTTGAGTCTACTTAACCCTTGCAACCTTCGCCGCTTATGTTACAACCCATAATTATATAAAAGAGATATTTTAATCGGCTATTATTATTAGTGATTCTTGTTTACGTTTTATATAATTTTAACTTGAACAAGAATTTTATATATTTGTCGATAAAAATTTTCTTTATATATATATTTTATATTGTTTTGAAATTAATAAGAATAATAATCTATGGATTTGACATCATTATATATACTTTGTATTACAAATATTATTATTACTACAGGTACTAGAACATGCAACAAAAAGAAAGAAAAAAGAAGAAGAAGAAGAAGAACTTGTCATCGAGAATATTAAATTCTAATCTTTCATTCTCGGTTCTGTTTTAATATCAGTTGATAAAAATCTTTGATGATGTATATGATGATATGTCTGATGATTATGATTTTCTTGTGTATTAGATTCAATATTTCTTGATCGATGTTCATCATTAATACTATTATTCATATGAGTTTTTACCTAATTAAAATAAAACAGTACAAAAATTAAAAAAAAGATTTGTTTATTAAATAAACATACATACATGTTTATTAAGATGATCACTACGCATAAAACGTTTTCCACATATTTGACATGCAAATCTTTTTTCACCTAAATATAATGAGAAAAATTTTTTTTATTTACATTTGATATCCATCAGTAAAAAACAAAATAAAAAAAGAAATGGGCGTATTCCATGATAAAAATCTTATTTGATTGATGTCACCTATGATCATAGATGTCAAGCATAAATAATAGGTATTCATTCGAAGTTAATTATCATGTATATATATATATATATATATATGTTTTATTTCTCCTACGATTAGTTTTTGCTATAAGTATAGTAGGAAAAAAAAAAAAAAAAAAAATTTGATGTGATTAATACGCTAAAGATGAACAAATGATTATTTTGATATTAGAAATAAAAATAACCTGTATGTGTTCGTGAATGTCTTTGAAGTTCATCACTACGAGTAAATCGTTTTCCACAAAATAACCAATTACATACAAATGGTCGTTCACCTTTAAACATAAGTTAAAATATAAAAGGATATTTTAGGTTTTCTTTTTTTTTTTTTCTTAAGTCAACCTGTATGCCAACGTAAATGTGCTTTAAGATGTGATGTTTTATGATATTCTTTTCCACATCCTGGTATATGACAATTATGAATATTTCTTTTTCGTACAGTTGATCCAGAAATATAACCTAAACGATCAGCTTCACGACAATTTGGACAATCACATTGAGCACGAGTTGTTTTAGGTTTTTTTAATGTACTTTTCGTTATTGATGATGATGATGATGATGATGCTTGAATTGTAGGTGGTGAAGGTGTAT